ATATAAATGAATGAAAAAGAATACGGCATCAATGTAGACCACAACGATATTCGATATCCGTGTTTTAGTATTGCCAATAAAGCTAAGGGACAAGCTGTTAAACTGAGCCTGCAATTTCGTGAAAATAATATCACAATGCACATGCTTTTTACATGAAGTTATTAAATACAAATATAACAACATATTTGTTTACTTGATAATTAACACAATGTGACATCAACTGCTAATAATAACAGCTCCTTCCATAGGCCAACCATAAAAGACGACGCCGCTCACCGGCGTCGCCAATAAAAAAACTGGCACAAGATCTAAATGTAATTCTCACAAAAAATGTAATAAAGAGTAGGATTCTGTATTTATTGATAAAAACAAACAATAAAACAACATTTTCTTATATTTATTTTGTTTTGTATTGTTTTCTAAGTTTTAATTGTACAATATGACAGATCTATACTTGTTACATTGACAACTGTCCGTTTCTAATCAATATTTCAATTTATGTTAAACATGCTTTGCTTATACGTTCAAATATCACTTTCACTGAACGATAAATGTGTTCATCTCCACTTTGTACCATTTTGTAAACTTGACTACAAACACTTTTTATATTATTTACTATAATATCCTTTGTTAAGATTCACGTATTGACAGGTTATATATATGGATTATACATGTATGTAGATGATGTACTTTGTACAAATCTAAATAATATCTGTGTATCTTAGAAATAGCGGCGATGTCTAAACGCCGTATTTCGGACTATTAAAGACGTAAATACTTGGTAGCTGCTCACTCGAGTTCATAACGTACTTCGGTCCTCGGGCCATTATGCACATCTTCGGAGCATTATCGCATTATGGCGAACAGCAACCAAGTATTAACCTCTAAGTAATCTGTGGATTGCTGACCGGCAAGTCGTTGTTTCCTTGAGCAAGAAACTTTACATTCATTGCTTAGTACTGGTTGGTTCCAGGAACGGATTCAAGAGTGTTCCAATAAGCTTATAGCTGGCAACAAAATCAAACTAAAATAATTTGTATAAACTAAACAAGTTCAGTATTTTCGATTTACATTTCTTTTTTTTTTCATTTTACAATCTGGAGGCATTCTGTTTACACCTTCATCAAAATATTTTCCCACATTTCTTATCCTTTTCTCAAAGAGGCGCAGAATATATTAATTAACTGTCCATAATATCCAGATATGCTTACATTACGTAATGATGTGATACCCAATTTCCTGACATTTTTTCTATTTTTGATATTTCCCTAACAATTCTCAAAATGTCCTGACCTTGTATAAAGTAAATTTCGCTGGCATGAGTAAGCAGTTATGGTTCTTAAAAAACTTTCTACATGGTCTCTATCGCTGTGTGAAATTTAAATCGAATTCCTTCAATACTTAAAGTTATTCTCTTCTGAGTAGAGCGTGACAGACGGATGTCATTAGGGGTAGACATTATGAGGTTGTTCTATTGATATTTTGATCTCTTTCAACACCACGAAGTCTTCTGACCCAGTTGAAATTACAGTTTGTACAAAATGGACTTCGTAATGTTAGGTAACAGAATAACCTCTTAATGTTGTGTAATATTATTATATTATTGTTAAGGAATGAACTCTACTAAATAAACTTCTTTAAACTTTGATAATCAAATTGATTCAATTCAAATGAAAATAATATAAAATGTTACACATTGTGCAATCTAATTAATTTCATGTAGGATGAAAAAATGCGTCTTATAATTACAGGGTTGATTAAAGATCAGATGTTATACGCTTGAGCGCAATCACTTGCATATGCACATTTTTTTAAATAAATTTGATCAATCCACATTTATTGATGATAACTTATTGCATTGTTATAAATTGTGTCTTCTAAAGTTTCTAGGAATGCTACAGATACGGAAAGAAAAATCTAATTGAGCCGAGCTTGAATTACACGGTTTTTGCAGCAGATCGAGCTCGTCATTGTGGCATACATGTATCTGCTGTAAAAAAAGTGAATATTTTTTTTAGATTTTTTTAGATATATCTGTTCATTCAAATGAAAACAAACTTAATGAGTCATAAATCATAATTTTGCAAAGATGTGCTTTTTAACTAATGGAAGTTTTTTTTTGGACAAATTCCAAAAATTTTAAACTTGCATGAACTAACTATTGATATCCTGCAGGATTGAAACTCTTTTTTTTTCATTAAACATATCAATTAACAAAAAGTCAACTGATGGTCACGCCAGGTATTGACAGAAATAACGGAAAATGTGATTTTCCAAATGACTGAGCTAAAGTAAATACCATTTGTGCTTTATTAAGTTTTTGTTAAAATTAAATTATGCAACTTACTAGAACATGTTTACGTAACATTTATGTATTATATAATTTATGTACAGTAATATTTAAACTAGAAAACTAAATGTGATTAATACCCCGCAAGACTGCTTCGGAAATGAGGAAGTTACTAGCAACAAAATACCTTGTAAAAGAATTGAAAGAGTTATGGTTGTGGGCAATTAAAGATAGTTGTGGTTCTTGTACGTTGCATTTCCTTTCACTGTGGTTGACCATTGATGAAGTTTTATTAAATTACTCTGTAATAAGTCCAGAAAGAGTTACGGTTCTTGAGCACTGCACTTCCTCTCATTTCGCTTGACCATTGTATGTAGTGGCATTGAATTCCAAACATAACTTTTCTTAAGTTATGCACCGGATAAGGAATAAAGGGCAATAACTCTGCAAATACTGAAAAAAAGTTGTTCTTATTGTACAGGGTTCATACAGATCTCCAATGCCAAAATTCAAGGACTTTTTAAGCACTATTCAAGCATGTTTTCCCATTTTTCAAGCACATTTGTTGCACATATACCGACACAATTTTCAATCGAAGATGGGTAGTTTATTTCCCATTTTTTGTTGAATACACATTTTCTGACCACAATTTTAAGGAATTTATAGAAGAACAAGAAAGGGTCATCAAATACAGATTAGTTCAAAACAACTGCAATTTGCCCACTTACTGTTACCTTGAGTAAACATTTTATTGATTTTGATACTAAATTGGATCATTTTCTTTTTACTTTGTTAATTTTAATCGAAACTATGTTATTCTGTGTTTCAAATTTTCAAGCACATTTTCAGCATATTTAAGCACTTTTTAAGCACTTTTCAAGAGAGTAATCAAATTCAAGGACTTTTAAGCACTTTTTTTCATTTTTAAGCACTTTTTAAGAAAGGGACTCAAATTTAAGCACTTTTTAAGACTGTACGAACCCTGTTGTACACTGCACTTCTTCTCATTGCGCTTGACTATTCAATGAAGTTGTATTGAATTCCAAGTACAAATTTTCTAGATATGCACTGGACAAGAAAAAGTAACAAATGGCAATCACTATGTAATAAGTTCAAATAGAGTTATGTTTCTTGTGTATTGCACTTTATCTCACTGCGCTTGACCATTGTATGAAGTTGCATTGAATTCCAGCCATAAGTTTTCAAGTAATGCACTAGACAAAATATTTAACAAAGGGCAATAACAATGTAATTAGTCCAACTAGAGTTATGATAATCCTTTTTGAGTTACATGCGGTACAAGTTGAAAATTGCAATTTTTTTTTCTAAGTCAAGGGCAATAACTCTAAAAATACAACACAAAAATACCCAGGTGCACAACTACGCATGCTGATCAACATCCCTGTAAAGTTTCATGACTAGGTCAAATCCTTTTTGCGTAAAATATGTGCGACACAAGTTGAAAATTGCAAATTTTTACTAAGTCAAAAGCAATAACTTTAAAATACTAAATAAATCCACAGGAAAATACCCAAGTGCACAACTTCACATGCTGATCAACATCCCTGTAAAGTTTTATGTGTCTAGGTCAAATACTTTTTGAGTTATGTGCGACACAAGTTGAAAATTGCAAATTTTTACTAAGTCAAGGGCAATAACTCTAAAAATACTACATAAATACACAGGAAAATACCAAAGTGCACAACTACACATGCTGATCAACATTTCAGTAAAGTTTCATGACTCCAGGTCAAATACTTTTTGAGTTACATACGACACAAGTTGAAAATTGCAAATTTTTACTAAGTCAAGGGCAATAACTCTAAAAATACTGAATAAATCCACACGAAAATACCCAGGTGCACAACTGCACATGCTGATCAACATTCCTGTCAAAGTTCATGACTCTAGGTCAAATACTTTTTGAGTTACGTGTGACACAAAAGAGAACGGATGGACGGACGTTCTAACAGGAGAGTAATAATGTGGCTACTCTATTGTTCTCTCTATTGTTCTTTTTAGCCACTCAAAAGAAAATTGCCACATAAAAGCATTAAGGCATGAATGACATCAAAGAAAAAGAACAGTTACCTATCGTCCCTCTAGCCACATAATTACATATGTACTGTCCTGTGAGTGCGGAAGGACGGACGGACAAGGGGAAATCTAAATACCCCCTAAAGTGGTGTTAACACTCTAGTGGTTACATTTTTGACTCAATTGTCATCAAACTTGGTCAGGATGCTTGTCTAGACAATTGCTTGGTTGAGTATGAACATGTGTCATTTGGATGAAAAACTAGGTCACAGGAGCTAAAAATAGAAAAATCTTGTTAACACTCCAGTGGCTTCTGTTTTGATTAAAATTTCCTGGAAATTGGTCTGAAAGTTTGTTTTGATGACATCTATGTCAAGTCCGAATATGGGTCACCTGCAGTTAAAAATTGGTCACGCCCAAATATGGAAAAACCTTATTAACACTCTAGTGTTCACATTTTTGACTCAATTGTCATGAAATTTGTCAAGATGCTTGACTACTTATCTAGGTAATTGCTCGAATGAATTTGATGGATCAGGTGAGCGATCTAAGGCCATCTTGGCCCTCTTGTTTCAGTGAGGTATTTTACAGTGCAAAGGAGGGCAACTATATTTATGCTTTCCCTTCAGGGGCTCTCCCTAAGGGGAGCATAAAAATTACAAAGGACAATAACTAGTATTTTTATATATTTATTACGTATAATTAAAAAGGACAATAACTTATATTTCTATACTAGTATATTTATTGCTTATAATTAATAAAAAATAATGTCAATGTTCTTCTGAAAGACCTACCAACCAAATTTATATCATGTTTAATGTTTATATTACTCTTACAGACTTCAAATTATTCCTTTGACTGATGTTTGTTTGCATTATTATATCTATTTCCATGTCATACATAATTATGCAATATAATAAATAAACATAAATTGATTGGCATTAGATATTGACAATGCAAACTAAATGAATGACATCAAAGTATTTATACCGCAAACCTGCTTAAAATGGTGACTAATTTATGGTAAAGGTCCTAGTTTATAAAAAATATGCAGATATGAAAATTGTTTCAAATATTTCTAAACTTTACAAAATCTGTGCACATTTCCAAGGAAAGAGTTGGTAGAATAAACATAACCTTTTTAACAGTTACTCCTCTGTTGCAGACCATTCCTCTTTGGGTAAGTTTTTCTTCAAACCTGTAAGACAAAATTAATGCTCTAGTATGTCTTTTTTAATACAATCAATTTGTTGTTACAACATTCATATAGTCATATAGTTAACATGATTTTGTCTTCATATGTACTTAAGAAATAAAACGTTTGTTATTGTAAATGTTGTTTTCATAGTAAAAATTCATGTCTAGGATCCTTATATGTATAAATTAAAAACTTGAAAAATCTTCTTTTCTGAATTGACAAAGGCTAGAGGTTAAATATTTGGCATGAGACTTTGCGAAGTAAACTGCTACCAAGATTGTTCAAATTATAGCCCTGGAGTCAAAATTGGTTCCGCCCCAGGGGTTATTGATTTTCATTATGTACATTTTTTGTCTGAAGGTACAAGGCATAGAGCTTTGATGTTTGCTATATAATATGATCTATATAGGTCCTCTACCAAAGTTGTTCAAATTTTTCCCCTGGTGTCAAAATTGGCCCTGACCGGGGGCAGTGATTCTCATTATGTACACATAGTAAAAACAGAAAGTAAAACAAATGTTTTCTGAATTGGAGAAAGCTAAAGCTTAGATATTTGACTTGAATTGTTGTTTGGTGGACCTGTATCAAGATTGTTTTGATTTAAATTGTTTTGATTTTTGATTTAAATTGATTTGATTGTTTTGGGTCAAAATTTTGCCTTGCCCAAGGGGACAGTGACCTACTTTCTTGTATTTTGATGTACAGCAATGAAATTTTGACCATGTGCACAGTTTTAGTTGTAAAATTGAACTTTGATATCAAATGACCTAGATTTTGATGATGTGACCTACTTTCTTGACCTTTGATGTACAGCTATGAAATTTGAACCATGTGCACAGATTAAGATGTAAAGTGAACTTTGATATCAGCTGACCTAGATTTTGACAAAGTGTCTTACTGTGTTGTCATGAAATTAAGACTGTGTAGGACCTTCACCACCAAATTCACTAGACTCAACTGCATTGATATATTCCTACTCTGATCTTTTATTTGAACAACACTAATCTGATAATAAGAATTAGATAAGGTCAGGGATCTATGCATTATGACAATCTTCAATTGTATAGAAACAAAAAAAATCTGTTCCTACACTACTATTTAGTGTTGTATTAATGCGGTGGCATAGCATTTTTCACAAATGCAATCTTGTTTTTTGTGTTTTTTTAGCTCACCTTGCACAAAGTGCAGGTGAGCTTTTAGGATGGCAAACCAAATGGCGTCCGTCGTCTGTCGTCCGTCCACATTTTAAATATTCTAAGGACATCTTCTATGATACCGCAAGGCCAATGTTAATGAAACTTGGCAGGAATACTCTTTGTATGAAGCTCTATCAAGATTGTTCAAAGAATTCCATTTCATGCAGAACTCTGGTTGCCATGGCAACCGAAAGAAAAATCTTTAAATATCTTCTTTTAAAGAACCGTAGGAGCTAGAGCTTAGATATTTGGCATGAAACATCTTCTAATGAGTGTCTACCAAGTTTGTTCAAATAAAAGCCCTAGGGTCAAAATTGGCCCGGCCCCAGGGGGTCATTGATTTTCCCTATATGCATATAGTAAAAACTTAAAAAATCTTCTTTTAAAGAACCCAAAGAGCTAGAGCTAAGATATTTGGCATGAAACATCTTCTAGTGAGTGTCTACCAAGTTTGTTCAAATAAAAGCCCTGGGGTCAAAATTGGCCCCTGCCCGGGGGGTCATTGATTTTCCCTTTATGCATATAGTAAAAACTTAAAAAATCTTCTTTTAAAGAACTGTAAAAGCTAGAGCTTAGATATTTGGCATGAAACATCTTCTAGTGAATGTCTACCAAGTTTGTTCAAATAAAAGCCCTGGGGTCAAAATTGGCCCCGCCCCAGGGGGTCATTGATTTTCCCTATATGCATATAGTAAAAACTTAAAAAATCTTCTTTTAAAGAACCCAAAGAGCTAGAGAGCTAAGATATTTAGCATGAAACATCTTCTAATGAGTGTCTACCAAGTTTGTTCAAATAAAAGCCCTGAGGTCAAAATTGGCCCTGCCCCAGGGGGTCATAGATTTTCCCTATATGCATATAGTAAAAAACTTAAAAAATCTTCTTTTAAAGAACCCAAAGAGCTAGAGCTAAGATATTTGACATGAAATATCTTCTAGTGAGTGTCTACCAAGTTTGTTCAAATAAAAGCCCTGGGGTCAAAATTGGCCCCGCCCGGGGGGGTCATTGATTTTCCCTATATGCATATAGTAAAAACTTAAAAAAATCTTCTTTTAAAGAACCGTAAGAGCTAGAGCTTAGATATTTGGCATGAAACATCTTCTAGTGAATGACTACCAAGTTTGTTCAAATAAAAGCCCTGGGGTCAAAATTGGCCCCGTCCCAGGGGGTCATAGATTTTCCCTATATGCATATAGTAAAAACTTAAAAAAATCTTCTTTTAAAGAACCCAAAGAGCTAGAGCTAAGATATTTAGCATGAAACATCTTCTAATGAGTGTCTACCAAGTTTGTTCAAATAAAAGCCCTGGGGTCAAAATTGGCCCCGCCCCAGGGGGTCATTGATTTTCCCTATATGCATATAGTAAAAACTTAAAAAATCTTCTTTTAAAGAACTCAAAGAGCTAGAGCTAAGATATTTAGCATGAAACATGTTCTAATGGGTGTCTACCAAGTATGTTCAAATAAAAGCCCTGGGGTCAAAACTGGCCCCGCCCCGGGGGTCATTGATTTTCCTTATATGTGTATAGCAAAAACTTAAAAATCTTCTTTGAAAAAACTCAAATAGCTTGAGTTTAGATATTATACATGAAACATCTTTAAGTAAATATCTACAAAGTTTGTTCAAATAAAAGCCTGGGGGTCAAAACTGGCCCTGCCCCAGGGGTGTCATTGTTTTTAACTATATGTGTATAGTAAAAACTTAAAAAATCTTCTTTTAAAAAACCCAATGAGCTAGAACTTAGATGTTTAGCATGAAACATCTTCTTATGGGTGTCTACCAAGTCTGTTCAAATAAAAGCCCTTGGGTAAAAATTGGCCCGGGGGGGGGGGGGGCTATATACAGGTGAGCGACCTCAGGGCCATCATGGCCCTCTTGTTTTCTTTTTGTAGTTGTTGACATTTTTATACATTTGGACATCAATAACAAATGATATTATACACATATAGATGAAATATATTTTATATATAAACAAGAGCTGTCACAGGAGACAGCGAAGCTCGACTAATAAAATACTGGACGCAGTAAGGAGGACAAAACTATGAAAGAAAAATCAATTATGTATAATTATGTATTAAGTTATAGTAAAAAAATAATATTTGTTAACATAAATTCCAAGATCAAGGGGAATAATTCTAGAAATAGTCATGCTAGAGTTATGGACCTTGTCACACAACATTTGTGTAATGATAAGAAATATATATTTGAAGTTTGAAGTAGATACCTTAAAAAGAAAAGAAGTTATTATATTTCTTAAAGAAAATCCTAAGTTCAAAGAGAGATAAATCTGTAAATATTGCATCAAGAGTTATGAACAATGTCACATAAAATGTAATTGTTGATAAGGAATAAGTATTTGAAATTTGAGGTAGATACCTTTAAAAATAAAAAAGTTATAATAAAAAATAACATTTTCTAGTAAAAAATTCTAAGTTTATGGGGAGATAATTCTTGCAATATTGGTGCTAGAGTTATGAACCTTGTCACATAAGATGTGGATGATGATAACGTAAACATATTTGAAGTATGAAGTTGATCCCTTTAGAAATAAATAAATAACAGTTAAAAAAAATATTTTTTATGGAAAATTCTAAGTTCAAAGGGAGATAAATCTGAAAATATTGGTGCTAGAGTTATGAACCTTGTCACATAAGATGGGGATGATGATAACGTAAATACATTTGAAGTATGAGGTTGATCCCTTACGAAATAAAGAAGAAACAGTAAGAAATAGTACTTTTTGAGGAAAATTCTAAGTTCAAGGGGAGATAAATCTGAAACTATTGTGCTAGAGTTATGAACCTTGTCACATAAGATGGGGATGATGATAAGGTACATATATTTGAAGTATGAGGTTGATCCCTTAAGAAATAAGGAAGTAACAGTAAAAAATAGTATTTTTTAAGGAAAATTCTAAGTTCAAGGGGAGATAAATCTGAAAATATTGGTGCTAGAGTTATGAACCTTGTCACATATGATGTGGTTGATGATAAGGAACATATATTTGAAGTTTGAAGTTGATACCTTAAGAAATGACAAAGTTATAGTGAAAAATATTTTACTGCACCAAAACTTTAATCTAAAATCTGGACGCGGACGCCGACGCCGGGGCGAGTAGGACAGCTCTCCATATACTTCGTATAGTCGAGCTAAAAATTAGATCCTAGCCTAATTATTAATCGGCAAGAATGGTTTGACCCATTTTACAGACATTCTTTCATACTACCATCAAAATTATCTTGATGTTCCTTTGACAAGTCTAATAGGTTACAGTAAACATATATAAATTCTCAGTAGAATATTAATATCTTAATTTAATTAGCGACGTTTTTCAACGTTGGAAATTTTTTAGGACTGATTTATTTTTCATTTTCCAAAAAAAAGGAGTTGGCGTGTCAGTAAACCGAAAGATAAAAAAATAATAGCCTATAGTCTGAAGAAAAATGCTCAAGTGCTTAAATTGGACTTATGCTCCGGACAAAATTGGGAAAGATGCTCAGATGGGGACCATTTCCAATACCCCCTTCGCCTTTTTCGGGATGGGGGTTATTTTATTGAGAAATGACATATCTAACAGACGTTGAAATATGATCTCTTTTTTTTTTTTTTCAAAACAGCCTAAATTAAGGGTTTTATTGTTTAAATTTTTTGGGAGGGGAAATTGGGGCGGGAATTTGGGAAAAATTAACTTTTTCCTTTTTTTTTAAGGGGTTTTTGGAGCTTCCACCCCCCCAAGTGTCTGTTGTAAATGTATTTTTACAAAAATAAGATTTGGAATTTTTCAGAATAAAATTATAGAAAGCATAGGGGAAATGAAAAAGGCCCTTCTATGTTATGCACTTTCACATCCAGAAAAAATTGAAACTTGTACTTTTCTTTTTGAAATTTTAGAAAAATTATTCCATATTGACATCGTAAAAACTTTGAGGCATAAAAACATTTGACAAATGAAAATTCAATTTCCATTTTCTACAATGCATCTAGAAAATCAACTAATCATTGTTTGACACATGCAAGTTCTACTGCATCTAATATTTTTAAAAAATAAGGAAAAGTGAAAAAACACTAAAAAAATTACCTTTCATATCAAAAGAGGACATAACAGTAGATTTCTTGAGGAGATCATTCTTGAAGCAATGGCTGGAATATCCAGTTAAGGAATACCATGATTCACTTGAAGTGCTATCAGAATAACAAGAACTTTCATTGTCACAGTTGGGGCACTTTCTAGGGACAGCCTTTGGACCTTTTGGATATCCATCATCCTCTGTACCTTTCAAGTAGTTACGCATTGCTCCTGCATGATAGTCAGGACGACTACGTTTCCATATTGGGTGGTCTGGATCAATTGCCATAATCTGAATTCATTTAATTACATAATGTTAAGTCAAATATTTGTTTCCATGCATTACACTTACTTGTACTTGTCAAATGTATCATTGTTATTTCAGTTATCAAACAAGAGCGATCAGTGGTCACATGTGTCACTTCACAATAGCCTGAATTGCATGTTGCAGCTACTGTGTAGCAGGAGACATAAAATCATTAACTGGGCAAAATGCCTTTTTTATTAAAGGGCCATAACTTGGGAAAAACTCATTCAAGCGGAAAACGTGTCCAATGTGTGCAAGTACTCGAGCCAATCCTGTAAAGTTTCACTGAAATTGTGTTAGTGGTATTGGAGTAGTCTGGACAAACTTTTAAAATAAAAATCATTAAAGGGCCATAACTCTGAACCCATGGCTATAATTTGAACAATCTTGGTTGAGGTCCACTTAACAAAATGTTTCATCCCAAATATCTAACTTCTAGTCTTTGTCAATTCAGAGAGGATTTTTTATATTTTTTATATACATATGACACCCCAGGGTAGGGCCATTATGGACAAAATTTGGGCAACTTTGGCATACATGTGAACTTTTTCAATGATCGAGTGGGAGATTTTTCTTCAAAAAGAGGGAGATTTTAGAATTTGCAATAAACAAAGAAGAAAGTTCTTACATCAAATAGAGGGAGATTTCTTTAATTTGGGAAAATACCCCTTATTTTAAGAAAAATCTTTAAAAATATAGCTGCAGAAAGTGGGAGTCTCCCGCTGAAAGTGGGAGGGTTCACATGTATGCTTTGGTAGAAGACCTATAGATGATATCATATACCAAATATTAAAGCTCTAGGCCTTGTACTTTCAGACAAGATATTTTTTAATTTGCATTTTTGAAACTCCTTTTCTGGCCCCTTGACCTACTTATGCAACAGACCAGAACCATTTGAACAATTTTGAAAGGGGACCACAAAGTTTGGTTAATGTGCATTCATTTGTTTCAGAGGTGATGTTCTTTAAAGTAATTGATGGTGACACACAACAACTGGTAGGGGACTAATAACAAATTTCTAGTCAGTTACAGTATAAAATTCAAATAATTTTATCTTGAATGTCAAGGTTATTTATGACTAAATGTCAAGGTCAGTCTGTCCATCTTGAAGGAACATTCCAAAGAATTGGACCTTTGAAGACAATTCATTAATTAACAAAAAATCAATAGCCACTTTGGTACAGTTTTGGGATATTTTCTCAGTTAAAAAGGGGCATTTATAATTCTGTCAAACTATCAGAGTTTTGAAACTTAACACAGATATTAAATATCAATATTGTGATATTGTTTTGATGTGCCAAGTTTCAAATTAATATCTCCACCAGTTCCTGAGATGGGAAACTATGTTTTTGGGTTTATTACAATCGATGGGTTTGAATAATCAAAATCTGAATAAGGTGAAAGGAGACAACTTCTCAACTTTGAATATGCACTAATCAAAGCAAAACTACCATTTACAACACACTTGCTTTTTTTGGTATTGAAGACATAAATACCTGCATATTATTGCACATTATGCAGCACATACAGCGTTTACATGAAAATTATCGCTGTCATCTTCAAGCATTAACAGTAACAATACTGGACACAGTGCAGAATAATATAATCATAGATAAGGTACAAATTCATATAATAATGTAAGCAATATTAGGATAACTTGTGCTAGCATAGACATAATGCAATGATTTGAAATAGGAAATGAAATTTTTCAGTATTTATATACAAATACATGGTAGTGTTTTGTTGCTTATCTTTTTCATTTAAATTGTATATTTTCATTCTTAAATTAAAATCATTAAATTGAACACTTTCAACCATCTAATTATTAAACAAACACTTACAGTCCATCACAAAGATTATCTAAATAGATGTGTCGTAACCAAAACTATCCCTTAATCTCTACGTGTAAACATATCTCCACAAGTCCCTGTCATAAACTCTTCATTACAAATAATTAGGAAGAAGCTTAAGTACATATTAAATTTGGTCACAAACTTTGCACAATCCTTCACAGTACTGGCAATCAAGAGAAGCCCTCAATCAACATTGAAGTTCAAACCATCGAGAAAGACTTCAAGAACCTCACAACAAGAGACCAAATCAACTTGATAAACCATTCAGGCATCACTTAATAAGCGTAGAAAAAAATTCTAAACAAAAAAATCACCACAAAAGAACAATCCTGGTCAAATGAATTAAAAACCATTCCTCGCAGAAAACTTAATCCTAAAGACTAATACGAGAAACACAAATTACTGAGAAATTTCAACAGATGGGTAGTAATTAAAGCTCTCCATGATTAAGCTTAACATTGATGAAAAGAGTATTCTTTGCCGCAGCATATCATTTTGTCCTACACCTACTAATCAAGACGAAATAACTTTTGAAAAAGACGTTCTTCTTTTTAATAGACGATTACGCCTCACCCATTTCTTTCAAGACGCCAATAGTGAAACCAACAACCAACCAACACCCTTTAAAATAAGTTCAGGATGGACGCCCCCACCAGGAAAATCTTCAACTTCAACAACTAGAAATATCACTAAATGTGATTAATAACCCCACAAGACTGCTTCAGAAATGAGGATGTTAATTGTAACAGAATAACAGGCCTTGACATTAACTTTTTTATTTGGTTGTCCTGTCGGGCAAGTACTTTTGAAAATTACTTGCCCTGACCCAAGACTTGCTTGCCCTGACCTAAACCGGTAAAGTGTTGAAAACAACCCTACATTTATAAGTAAGGTTTGAGAAAAAGGGTTTTTGGCAATCTTTGAAAATGGGGTTTATTTTATCCTCTTATCATGCATTGGTTTCATTATAAGCCGTACAGGCTTATAATTTAAGAAATTAAGACATTTTGTGACAAAATCATACTCATTTTTTCACTAAAATTGGTTGGAAATAGAAGGAAGGTTAAAAGGGGCTAAACAAGATTTTAAAATGTTTTCAGTAATTAAGTTACATGTATTTTGAAGAAAAAAACAGTAAAAAAAAATGGTTATTGTGACAAAAAAAAAAGTTTTGTGCATTTGATATATAAAAATCATTTAGATATAGTACTTTCTTCATAAAAGAATTTTTATAAAGTTGTGGACAGAAACTTTGTAGGTTTTTTGTTTACCACGTCTGAAGTCGCGAAAATATGTGACAATTTCATTTACCGATTTTGTATTCTTTTTACTTTCTTAATTTACATCTTTTTTCCTTGTGGATATGACTCTGTAACACATTTGTAGATGAACTGAGTTATTATTTTCACAATTATCTACAGGAGAAACGGATATACGATAAATTTTAGATTTTTAACGGCAAAAAAAAACAGCCAGAAATCGTCAAAATGTTTTAGACGGATATATTAAAACTATAAGTTCAAGGTTGCTTGATTTGAACTTCAACAGGGTTTGAACACCTTTAATAAGAAGAGGTGTTGACTTAATTAATAATGCTAATCAAGTTTTGACATATTCATCAGACAACCGGATAGTCTGTGTACATGTACAATTGCCCTGCTGTGAGGTTCGTTATTTATCGTCTCCACCCCAAATGTGATTCGTTCTAATTAAGTCTAATTAAGATTGAAATTGTAATTTGCAAGGATTATTGGTCATTATATTGGAATTTAATATGTTTACTTATGATTTTTTTCACTTGCCCTGTCAGACAAGTTCTTTTGAAATTCACTTGCCCTGACCAAACTTTTGGTTGTCCCGGGCAGTCGGACAACCGTTAATGTCGAGCCCTGGAATACCTTGTAAAAGAATTGAAATAGAGTTATGGGCAGTTAAAGATAGTTGTGGTTCTTGTATGTTGCATTTCCTTTCAATGTGGTTGGCCATTGATGAAGTTTTATTGAAGTCCAGAAATTAGACAAGGAAAAGGAACAAAGGGCAATAACTCTATAAATACTGAAGATGGAGTTATGGTTATTGTACACTGCACTTCTTCTCTTTGCTCTTGACCATTGTATGAAGTTGTATTGAATTCTAACTACTAGTTTTCAAGTTATGCACTGGACAAAAAAAGTAACAAAGGGCAATAACTGTAATAAGTCCAAATAGAGTTATGGTTCTTATGCACTGCACTTTATCTCACTGCCCTTGACCATTGTTTAAAGTTTCATTGAATTCTAACCATTAATTTTCAAGTTACGCACTAGACAATAAAAAGTAAAAAAGGGCAAAAACTTTTAAATGAGTCAAGATGGAGTTATGGTTTCTGTGCACTGCGCTTCCTCTCAATATACTTGACCATTGTATGAAATTGTATTGAATTCCAATTAGTAGTTTTCAAGTTATGCTCTGGACAAGAAAAAAGCAATGGAAAAGTAACAAAGGGCAATAACTCTATAATTACTCTGGACAGAGTTATAGTTTTTGTGCACTGCACTTCCTCTCAATGTGCTTGACCATTGTATGAAGTTGTTTTGAATTCCAACCAGTACGTTTTAAGTTATGCTTCATACAAGGAAAAGTATCAAAGGGCAGTAACTCTGTATTTTGTCAAAATGAAGTTATGATTCTTGTGCACTGCACTTCCTTTTAATGTCCTTCACAATTGTATGAAGTTGTATTGAATTCCAACCAGTAGTTTTCAAGTTATGCTCCGGACAAGGAAAAGTAACAAAGGGCAATTACTCTGCGATTAGTCAAGATGGAGTTATGGTTCTTGTGCACTGCACTTCTTCTCAATGTGCTCGACCATTGTATGAAGTTATATTGAATTCCAACCATAAGTCTTCAAGTTATGCTCTGGACAAAAAAAGCAATGGAAAAGTAACAAAGGGCAATAACTCCGTAATTAGTCAAGATGGAGTTATGGTTCTTGCGCACTGCACTGCACTTTCCCTTATTGTGCTTGACCATTGTATGAAGTTGTTTTGAATTCCAACAAGTAGTTTTCACAAGGAAAAGTAACAAAGGGCAGTAACTCTGTAATAAGTCAAGATGGAGTTATGGTTCTTGTTCACTGCACTTCCTTTTAAT